GGGCCCCTCTAGGTGGGCGGGACCCGCGGCCGCGACGGGGCGGGGCGGGGCGGAGCTTCGCGGGGCGGAGTCACGCTGCGGGACCGCTGGGAGCCCGGGCAAGGGGTGGCGAAGTCCTCCTCCTCTCCCGGTCCCCCGCGCGCCCCTGTGGGAGGCCTCTGCTGACCAAGAGGCTTGCAGCCGCATCTCCTCTCTCTTTGCCCCGTATCCAGCTTCCTCTCTTCTTGAGATCGCCACTGTGGATTATTTTTTGTGGTGCTGAACGCTGAACCCAGAGTTTCAAGGGTTCTGCCCCCAGCCCACGAATATTCGACATAACTTACTCATTTGTGCGTTTTTAAAGGTTTTTTTGCTTTCCCCTTTAGCAATCCTCTAGGCCAGGGTGTACTGTCGCTTTCATTCCTGGCTGGCCCTCCAGAGGCACAAGGCAGGGGCAGATTTGTGGAATGAATGAATGAATTCGACCATCACCAGTCAATCAAGAAGCTTGTCCTGCTCCACAGCAGTGAGACAGAGGCGGCGGTGGAAGCCGCCTGTGTAAGGCGGGCAGGGCAGCGGCGCCCTGGAGGAGGACCGCTGACGGTTGCCAGAGGCTGCAAAGCTGGGGAGTGGGAGCTGGCCACCAAGGTGGGGGTTCTCCTGGGGGGTGGAATTGGACGACATTGATAATTGCACAACTTTGAATATACTTCCTAAAAATCATTTAACAAGGTGGATTTGGGGGTGTGTGAATTATGTCTCAGTGCTGTTATAAAAACAAAACCAGACAAAAGCCTCACTTCTCGCTGTTCTCTGGCTCCTTGATGGGTCTGGAGAGGACTCGGGTGCAGAAGGCTCAGGCAGCCGCAGCACCCCAGGGAAACTGAGTGCACCCCGGGGGGAGTCAAGAGGTTGGGACAAGGGTGGAGCCTCCTGTCCCCCAGTGCCGCGTGTAATGGCAGCCCGGCTGCTCCCAGGAGGTCCCTCTGAGGCACTTCACAACGGATGCACGGTTGACCCCGGTGCAGAGTGGGGTGCGATAGGGGTTGTGGGTGCTGGGGTGAGGGCCATCTCAGGGGCCATCTCACAGGGGCAGCTGGGGGCAGGGGGGAGCTCTGTTGCTCTTGGTCAGCTTTGACTACGAGCCTGTTTGCCCCCTGGGAGTGGAGTTGATAAGAGCAGGGCCAGCCCGTTCTGCTCTGGTGACCCCCACTCCACACTGCTTCTCCCACACAGGCCTGGCGTTTATAGCACTTTTTGGTTTTGCTCAGTTCCCTGCACCCATATTTCACTTTTTTGAGACAGGGTTTCATTAAGTTGCCCAGGCTGGGCTCCAACTTTTGATCCTCCTGCCTCAGCCTTACAAAGTGCTGCGATTACAAGTGTTGGATCACCATGGCTAGCAACTTGCAGTACATTTTTATGAAACATTAATCTGCTCAGAATCAAAAGTGTAGAAGCCTGTTGTGGTCATGTGTACCTGTAGTCCCAGCCACACAGCAGGCTGAAGCAGGAAGATCACTTGAGCCTGGGAGTTCGAGGCCACCCTGGGCAGTGTAGTGAGACGTCATCTCAGAATAACAAGGGAAGAGGAGGTAGCAGAGTGGTAGAGTGCCCCCCTCGATGTGTGCATCTCGTCTGCTACGGAATTTGTGCCCTCCATTCACTCCTTCAGCTGACTTGGGGAGCACCTGCCGGTGCCGGGGATTGGTGAAGGATCTTTCAGGGCCTTTAGGAGGAGAGGCAAATGGATCAGTACTATTACATTGTGGGCAGTTCTGAGTTAGGTCATATTTTCAGGGCTATGAAAGAGACACACTTTTTTTTTACAGTTAATGACTCTGCGCATGCACACACACATTGAAGATTGAATCCTGGGTCTTCCCCCTGGACTACATCCCCAGCCCCAACCTTAAAGTTTTGTTTTTTTTTAATTTGGAGAGAAAGAGGCTGGGGATTTAGCTCAGTGGCAAAGCGCCTGCCTGGCAAGCGCAAGGTGAATTCGATTCCTGGTACTGGAAGAAAAACAAAAACAAACAAAAAACAATCAAATAATTTGGAGGGAGGGTGTATTTTGAAACTATGTAGTTCAGCCTGGCCTTGAACTCACTACCTAGTCCAGGCTGGCCTTGAACTCATGGTGATCCTTCCGGCCTCAACCTCCCTGAGTACTGGGATAATAGGCGTGTGCCACCATGCCCAGTTAGCTACAGATACTTTAAGATGCTACAACTCGACATTGATGCCCGCTTCAGGGGCAGGTTCCTTGTGAATGAGAAGACATACAGCTCAGGTAAGCATCGGGAGTAAGCCCCGGGACAAGCTCAGGAGCCCACACTTGACCTTGGGCGAGGGCTCACAGACTTGGCTCGCCTGCCACCATTTCCCGTTTCTTATCCTCTAAAGGGAAAGGTGAGGCTAGCAGCGCTCTCTCTCCATGTTTCCCCGTTACCTGATTCGTCATAACAACAGCATCAATGCCAGCAGGGTTGCACAGCTTTCTCTGCGCTGGACACTGCTCTGGGCTCCTGCATGCACTCAGCCTGGACAGAGGGGCCTTCCTTCCCCTGGGTGAGGACGGGAAGCTCAGGCCGGAAGAAGTTCAGTCCCCTGCCCATGGTCACAGAGCCAGTAAGCAGCGGAGCTGGGCTCGACCCGCCCTGTTAGCCTCCAGCACCGCAGCCTGGCTTAGCACTCTGCCGCCAGCGCCTCTGCACGACTGAGGTGGCAGGTGCCTCGTGCGAACCCAGGAAAATGCAGGGCAGGGCAGCGGGGAGAGCATCGCCACAGAGCAGGTCAGTCGTTGGTGTTTAAGGTTGCATCCTTCTCACTCAGGCATGCAAGTGCAGTCATGGGTTTGTGCTCTTCATGAGCCTATTTTTCTCCTTTTGAAAACATCACGAGTTTTCCTCATGGCAACAAATGCTGTTCTGCGGCACGGTCCTCAGGGCTGCGTCGGGGCTTCCAATGTGGACTGCGCACACGGCATCCCCTGTCACCGGGCATCCCGCTGGTGTCACTACCATCAGTAACAGCGCGGCCAGCATCCTTGCAGGACTTCCTGTGCAGCTCTTGGAGGACAGGGTGGAACTTCCAGGTCAGAGGGCGCGAGTCTTCATCAGGCCCTAAACCACAGCCCTCCCCCGGAGGGCGGAAGCGAGTGCCCCTGACAATGGTTCCACACTGTCCCTTCTTCTGTCCCAGCTGAATAACTCGCAGGGCGGAGCGCAGATGAGAGCTGTGCCCTGCCCCCACGCGTGCGACCGGCAGGAAAAAGCCTTTCCGGTCTCTGCAGAGCCCCTCTCCACCTGCCATGTGCTTTCCACTCACGACCTCACGCTGTGCTCCCTC